GTCAAACAAAACCCCAATCTTGCAACGGTCGTTGCTTCAATCCGCAAAAACATCGATGAAGCTCGACCAGAGTTTCCCGTCATGAATTGGGCTGCCTTCCAGACGACTACCACCCAGGCTCTCAACACACTCGACCAGGCACTGGCAGCGCCCGAAGCGTTAAGCAACCGCTTGAAGCAATTGGACCCCAACACTGACAACCTAGAATCAGTGCTGCAAGAGCTGCACGGTGTCACTGCTGGTTTTGAGCTGCAGCCGGTGCTTCTCGAGCTTCAGGACATGCTGGCAGCGTGCCCCGCTCCACCCACCACGCCAGTGATCGCGCCCAAGAAGCCACCCACCGACCTAGCAGCGGCCCTGAGCAAAGTCATCGTTCTGAGCGGCGTGGAACCCAAGCGTCAGGAGCTGCTCACCAGCGCCAACAGCGACCTCAAGCGCCTGGTGCTGGCCTTGATCGATGCCCTGGGCGCCGTGGCAAAAGCGGGAACAACCGACACAATTCATCGCGTGGAAACGCTACGGCAGTGCGCACAATGCGTGAATGCAAGTGCACCGCCTCCAGCCGAGACATTGCCCGAAGCCTGGGAGGAGCTGTGCCAAGCTCACGAGAAGCTGAGCCTGCTCGAGCAAAATGGTCTTGAGCAAATTTCTCAGTGGCAACCACCTCCAGACTACGAGCATCAGAATTGGTACTTGGCGTTTGTGCACCACGAGTCGCAAGCTCTGCTGCAGCAGTTACAAGACATGATCGACTGGCAGGCCACGACGCTCTCCATGTTGGACTCGTGCATGAGGCACGTGGACAGCTTGACCCAAGGCGTCGATGATGAATCGGTTGCTGCCCACGAGGAACTGACCAAGGTGGAGAAAGAGATGCAAGGTATCAGTGCGGCGTTGCAGCTGGTGCCTGAAGATATGCGTCCAAGCCTCGAACACAAGCTCCAAGAGAAGAAGGAACGGCTGGATATCTTGCGACAACAGTTATCAGATCAGCCACACGTGGACCACGTCGCAGAGCTCGCCCAGCTGCTGCATCAGCACTTTCCAGCGCTGCTGGTTTTTCTGCACCCTGAACAGAGCACGATGGGAGCGCGCCTCCGCACTGTGCTTGGGCCCGACCTTCCAGCTAGCCTGATCTTGGAGGCCATGACCGAAGTAGACCAGGGTTTGACGCTCTCCAGCCTGGGCCAGCTCTCTCTCC